GCGGCTCCACGCTCTTCGGTCTCGACTACTTCGGTGAGAACGCGTTCCTGACGCAGTCGTCTCAGCTCTACCTGGAGACCTGCATCCCTGCGCTGGGCGACACCTTCTGCATCGCGCAGTCGTACCGCGCCGAGCAGTCGCGCACACGCAGACACCTGTCCGAGTGAGTCTGGGACCCTTCAGCATTCATTCAGTGAAACTGTTACATCCCTTATTAAAGCACTCCAGACATCTGATCCACTGAAGACACAGTGGAGTATGTTTGAATGCATCCTCCGATCTGCCTAAATGTGTACGTTTGCGCGAATCATTCGTGATCCAGGTTCTTTTATGAATCTTTGCAAATGGCCTTTCTTAATAACGTGCTAGTTAGCAAGTTCCACGGCTAAATGCAGCTTTACAGTCTCATAAGAATGGCTCGTCACTTCACAGAAGAGAGGGGCGGGGTCAGCAGAGCTCATTAGCATTTAAAGGGACATGCACCAAAACGGGTTGCTCTGAACAGAGCTGTTTTTGACAGGGTAAAAAGGGTGTTGTTTTACACTACCATTGAGAAATTTTAACAAAAGCATGTTATAGACTTTTCATTAAGACCCTAAAGAATCATATCAACTTGTGGAAAATGGGCATCTGATGACCCCTTTAAAGCTCTAGGGGTAAGAATCCGCTCGTCTCGAATGATTGGCAGCCGAGACAACCATTCAGTAGTGACTTACGAGAGTAATAACAAGACAGAGAGCAGCAAAGAGAATATATATATATATATATACCCAAAACACAACTCAACGTCGTACAAGGACGTAACAGAAACAGACAGAAGCATGTCAGTGTAGTGTGTGTGTTCAGGTACACCCACATCGAGGCTGAGTGTCCCTTCATGACCTATGAGGATCTTCTGAACCGGTTGGAGGATCTGGTGTGTGACGTGGTCGACAGGGTCCTGAAGTCTCCTGCTGCGCAGCTGCTCTACGACATTAACCCGGTATGACCCCTGACCTCACACTGAGCTTCACAGTCACAGAAAACCTGGAAATATCATAATATTTGACATTTTAGGCCTGGATTATGTTATTCAGGCATATAAAATTCATGGAAATGAACTTCACCATCATTGTAGATGTTAATGTTTATAGTTAATTTGTAAAATATCTTGTCACGTAAAATCAGTTCTATCATTAATGTACTATTATAGTATTTATAATATTTGTTTTATTATTTTATGTTAGTTTTTGTAACTGTTTTTGATTTTTATTAGTTTTAGTTTTTTTAAAACTATTTTATTTTGTAGAACCATCTCAAGGATGATCAGAAGAAATGGACAGCACCTGAGTTAAATATATGAGTGTCACAGCAAAGGGTCTGAATACTTAGGACCATGTGATATTTCAGTTTTTCTTTTTTTAATAAATCTGCAAAAATGTCAACAATTCTGTGTTTTTCTGTCAATATGGGGTGCTGTGTGTACATTAATGAGGAAAAAAAATTAACTTAAATGATTTTAGCAAATGGCTGCAATATAACAAAGAGTGAAAAATTTAAGGGGGTCTGAATACTTTCCGTACCCACTGTGTATATATATATATATTTTTTTTTTGTTTAGTTTTTTTAGTTTTAGTTAATGAAAACAACATTGCCACAAATGGCTGGAAAGGTCATGGAAGTTCATCATGAAGTATTTGAAGTTTTTAATTCATTTTTATTTCAGTTTTAGTAATTTTAGCACTTCATCTTTAAATGACAATTAGAAATGTTGCCTTGGCAGCTGACCAAAAATAATAAGATAGTTTAAGCTTTTTGTTTGTCTAATTTGAGTAAAGATTTATTTTATTTTACTTCATTTAATGTAAATATATATATTTTGTTTTTGTAAGCAATAACAACATTGTTACAATTCATATTAATATAATATTAATTAATTAATAGATGCATTTAGCAGATGCTTTTATCCAAAGCGACTTACAGTGCATTCAGGCTATACATTTTTTACCAGTATGTGTGTTCCCTGGGACTCGAACCCACGACCTTTTGTGCTGCTAATGCAATGCTTTACCACTGAGCCACAGGACAGTCATTACAAATGACTGGAAGGGTCATAGAAAATTGGTCAAAAAGTATGGAAGCTCTTAAATCTTTTTTTCCTCTCTTGCAGGACTTCAAGCCTCCCAAAAGGCCGTTCAAGAGGATGAACTACACCGAAGCCATTGAGTGGCTCAAAGAGCACAACATCAAGAAGGACGATGGGACTTTTTATGAGTTTGGAGAGGTGTGTTTTATTGGATCTCATACGTTATTTCCAAGAGTGCTCAACTGCAATGCTTGGATATTTGACCGTTTGTGTGTGATTTCTGCAGGATATCCCAGAAGCCCCTGAGCGACTGATGACCGACTCTATTAACGAGACCATCCTGCTGTGTCGCTTCCCAGCCGAGATCAAATCCTTCTACATGCAGCGCTGCGCTGAGGACCGCCGCCTCACCGAATCGGTCCGGATCCTCATTAACAATCACAGTGTTTAAATATGCAGAGATATGGACCAATGAGTTACCAGAACAAAACTCAAGCTACATAAAGAAAAGACATTAATATGCAAAAGGACAAAAATGTCAGTATCAGCAGAGTTGTGTTGTAATTGGCTGCTGTGTGTGTGTTTGTCAGGTGGATGTGCTGATGCCTAACGTGGGTGAGATCGTGGGAGGCTCCATGCGTATCTGGGACGCTGAGGAGCTGCTGGAGGGGTATAAGAGAGAGGGAATCGACCCCACACCCTACTACTGGTACACCGACCAGGTATAGTTCATATAGACTACCATTCAGAAATTCATACTCCTATTCATCGGGATGCATTACATTGATCAAAAGTGGCAGAAAAAAGACATTCATAATGTTACAAAAGATTTCTATTTCAAATAAATGCTATTCTTTTGAACTTTCTGTTCATCTGTGAATCCTGAAAAATAAAATGTATCACAGTTTCCACAAAAATATCGTGCAGCACAACTGTTTTCAGCATTGATAATAATCAGAAATGTTTCTTGAGCAGTAAAGCAGCATATTATTATGATTTCTGAAGATCATGTGACACTGAAGACTAGAGTAATGATGCTGAAAATACAGATTCAATTTTAACAGATATTCACATAGAAAACAGATATTTTAAATTATAATAATTTCACTGTTTTTATGTATTTTTAATCAAATAAATGCAGCTTGGTGAGCAAAAGAGACTTTCAAAAACATTTTAAAAATGACCTTGATATTTATGTATTTGCTCAGAAATTGTCTAAATTTTAAGTAGACACTGTTGGCAAGTAGAATCACAAAGTTTAATGTAAATGATAATTTATAATAATAAGTTTAATGTATTTAATAATTAATGCATGTTTGCGGGAAGAATATTGAATCCTTTTATTTTACATTCACATGCACCATTATAACAATGCCTAGAATCATATATCCTAAAATATTGTAATATATGAAGAGTTAATTTGCAAACACCGGTAACTCCATTAATTTTTTTTTTTTTTTTCAGAAATCACGTTTTTTTTTTTTTTTTTTAAGTAATATCAATCAAACTGCAGTTGGGTTGTTTTGATTAAGTAATAATAACTTAAACAAATACAGGTAACTTACAAAATTAAAGTTTATTGAAAGTATGTTTTTTTTTTTTTTTTTTACATTTTAAAAGTTTTTTTATAGCAAAAGCAGATAACTCCAACAGTCGTTTTTTGGCAAAAGCAGATAACTCCACATTTCATGTTTTAGAGTTAAAAAAAATCACTGGTTTAATCTTTGTAATCTCCTCAGCTGACAATGTAGACGCCTGACATTGTAACGCGCTGCTTTTGCAAGCTTCCATGAAAACGTTTCAGCTTTTATTTTCCTTTTTCGCCCAGAAGAAGATATCACAGGTTCATCAAGTTAATCGAAATGATCCATCCTCGATCTCTTTTAGTCAGCTTTGACGAAACTCCTCTCAGCTAGCACGTCTTTTCAAAGTGAAAGTAGCCTTGTCACCTGACCTGAATACACCTGAATGGACTTATCGGCTTCTGTTCAAAAACAGCAAGTGCGCTTGTTGGCTTCTGCAGTAAAATGTGAACTCGCGATGCCTTGAAAGTGGACAAAACCGGCTTTTTGGCAAAACGTGTTTTGGGTTCAGATCGTGCTATAATGTGGAGAATAATGCACGGCAATCAGTTCATTTTTTTTTAAGTGCCGTTTATCGGTTTTTGCAAATAACTCTTCATATGATATGCCACGTGGAAACTTCTATGCCTTTTTTTTTTTGAGAGATAATGCAAATGTTTATAAAAACAAACTCAAATCTAAGATTTGATTCATCGAAATACACTAGAAAAATTTTTACTTTGAAATAAAAAATTGGTAATAAATTCACAAATAATTACAGAAACAGCAAGTAAAACACTGAATTAAACATTAAATTTTGACAGAAAAAAGACTGAAATAATATTTTTCTTTTAAAACACTCCGATAATCTTCAACTTCATCATTTTACAGTGTAGTTTGAAAATAATACTGTCGTTAAATTTGACAAAAAATGCTACCAAAATCATTGCAGATGTTGAGTGTATTGTCCAGCTGTTTGTCATCAGCATGTGACTGTTTGTGTGTTTCAGAGGAAGTTTGGAACGTGTCCTCACGGCGGATACGGTCTGGGTCTGGAGCGATTCCTCACCTGGCTGCTGAACCGCCATCACATCCGTGACGTCTGCCTGTACCCACGCTTCATTCAGCGCTGCCGGCCTTAAACACACATACACACACTCCCACACACACACTCACACACTCACACACTCACTCTCACACAGACACACACACTCACTCTCTCTCTCTCTCACACACACACACACACACACTCACTCTCTCACACACACTCACTCACTCTCTCACACACACACACTCTCTCATACGTTATTTCCAAGAGTGCTCAACTGCAATGCTTGGATATTTGACCGTTTGTGTGTGATTTCTGCAGGATATCCCAGAAGCCCCTGAGCGACTGATGACCGACTCTATTAACGAGACCATCCTGCTGTGTCGCTTCCCAGCCGAGATCAAATCCTTCTACATGCAGCGCTGCGCTGAGGACCGCCGCCTCACCGAATCGGTCCGGATCCTCATTAACAATCACAGTGTTTAAATATGCAGAGATATGGACCAATGAGTTACCAGAACAAAACTCAAGCTACATAAAGAAAAGACATTAATATGCAAAAGGACAAAAATGTCAGTATCAGCAGAGTTGTGTTGTAATTGGCTGCTGTGTGTGTGTTTGTCAGGTGGATGTGCTGATGCCTAACGTGGGTGAGATCGTGGGAGGCTCCATGCGTATCTGGGACGCTGAGGAGCTGCTGGAGGGGTATAAGAGAGAGGGAATCGACCCCACACCCTACTACTGGTACACCGACCAGGTATAGTTCATATAGACTACCATTCAGAAATTCATACTCCTATTCATCGGGATGCATTACATTGATCAAAAGTGGCAGAAAAAAGACATTCATAATGTTACAAAAGATTTCTATTTCAAATAAATGCTATTCTTTTGAACTTTCTGTTCATCTGTGAATCCTGAAAAATAAAATGTATCACAGTTTCCACAAAAATATCGTGCAGCACAACTGTTTTCAACATTGATAATAATCAGAAATGTTTCTTGAGCAGTAAAGCAGCATATTATTATGATTTCTGAAGATCATGTGACACTGAAGACTAGAGTAATGATGCTGAAAATACAGATTCAATTTTAACAGATATTCACATAGAAAACAGATATTTTAAATTATAATAATTTCACTGTTTTTATGTATTTTTAATCAAATAAATGCAGCTTGGTGAGCAAAAGAGACTTTCAAAAACATTTTAAAAATGACCTTGATATTTATGTATTTGCTCAGAAATTGTCTAAATTTTAAGTAGACACTGTTGGCAAGTAGAATCACAAAGTTTAATGTAAATGATAATTTATAATAATAAGTTTAATGTATTTAATAATTAATGCATGTTTGCGGGAAGAATATTGAATCCTTTTATTTTACATTCACATGCACCATTATAACAATGCCTAGAATCATATATCCTAAAATATTGTAATATATGAAGAGTTAATTTGCAAACACCGGTAACTCCATTAATTTTTTTTTTTTTTTTTCAGAAATCACGTTTTTTTTTTTTTTTTTTAAGTAATATCAATCAAACTGCAGTTGGGTTGTTTTGATTAAGTAATAATAACTTAAACAAATACAGGTAACTTACAAAATTAAAGTTTATTGAAAGTATGTTTTTTTTTTTTTTTTACATATTAAAAGCTTGTTTTATAGCAAAAGCAGATAACTCCACATTTCATGTTTTAGAGTTAAAAAAAATCACTGGTTTAATCTTTGTAATCTCCTCAGCTGACAATGTAGACGCCTGACATTGTAACGCGCTGCTTTTGCAAGCTTCCATGAAAACGTTTCAGCTTTTATTTTCCTTTTTCGCCCAGAAGAAGATATCACAGGTTCATCAAGTTAATCGAAATGATCCATCCTCGATCTCTTTTAGTCAGCTTTGACGAAACTCCTCTCAGCTAGCACGTCTTTTCAAAGTGAAAGTAGCCTTGTCACCTGACCTGAATACACCTGAATGGACTTATCGGCTTCTGTTCAAAAACAGCAAGTGCGCTTGTTGGCTTCTGCAGTAAAATGTGAACTCGCGATGCCTTGAAAGTGGACAAAACCGGCTTTTTGGCAAAACGTGTTTTGGGTTCAGATCGTGCTATAATGTGGAGAATAATGCACGGCAATCAGTTCATTTTTTTTTAAGTGCCGTTTATCGGTTTTTGCAAATAACTCTTCATATGATATGCCACGTGGAAACTTCTATGCCTTTTTTTTTTTGAGAGATAATGCAAATGTTTATAAAAACAAACTAAAATCTAAGATTTGATTCATCGAAATACACTAGAAAAAAATTTACTTTGAAATAAAAAATTGGTAATAAATTCACAAATAATTACAGAAACAGCAAGTAAAACACTGAATTAAACATTAAATTTTGACAGAAAAAAGACTGAAATAATATTTTTCTTTTAAAACACTCCGATAATCTTCAACTTCATCATTTTACAGTGTAGTTTGAAAATAATACTGTCGTTAAATTTGACAAAAAATGCTACCAAAATCATTGCAGATGTTGAGTGTATTGTCCAGCTGTTTGTCATCAGCGTGTGACTGTTTGTGTGTTTCAGAGGAAGTTTGGCACATGTCCTCACGGCGGATACGGTCTGGGTCTGGAGCGATTCCTCACCTGGCTGCTGAACCGCCATCACATCCGTGACGTCTGCCTGTACCCACGCTTCATTCAGCGCTGCCGGCCTTAAACACACATACACACACTCCCACACACACACACACACTCACACACTCACTCTCACACAGACACACACACTCACTCTCTCTCTCTCTCACACACACACACACACACACTCACTCTCTCACACACACTCACTCACTCTCTCACACACACACACTCTCCCACACACACGCACACACACACACACACACGCGCACACACACACACACACACTGCAAGAGACCAACTAGGAAATCAAATCACGCTCTCATTGCCGGAGACCGTATTTAGCATGTCATGTTTAGAGATCTAATCAGGAGACTGTTTGAATGGTGATTCGGTGTTGCATTATATTCTTGTAATGTTCATCTGTGGCATAATAAATCAATGAGATCATGCATTTGTGTTTGATTCCACTAGAGGGAAGCAGAGAAGCTCAATTGCACTGCCATTTGTCTTCATAATCATATTCAGAAGAAATGGGTCAGAAATGAAGTATTTGTAAGAGGCGATTTATGTTGTGTGTTATCTAATGTATTCAAGCAAGAGACAGGTGAAACAGTGAAGTAATCATTTTGTTGATTTGATGAAAATATTCAAGCCAAACACAGTCAAGCACTGAACAAAGACAGAGACTGAAGAATAGAGATGAACCTGAATAAGCAATTTGTTGGTTTGTTCCAGTGAAAGAGATTAAGTTTATATGTTATGGCTTGTGGCAGAACCCTACAGCATGAAAGGCCTGTTAAAAACATCTGTAAAATAGAATGGCTTTGCTTTTACTTCCACTTTTTCTGCTTGTGGATGAAGATCAGGACACAAACTAATGATACGTGGGGAAAGATGGATTATTAGAAAATTTCATTTCAAATGTAATTTACTTTCACATGCAGAGAGAAGTTAACCCTGTTCTTTTATTTTATATATATATATATATAAATTATTTAGCAATTGTATGACCGACATTAAACATAGAGGCCAAAACCTGCGGAAATAAATAAAAGTAAATGCAGTAAATAAAAAAAATAAATACTGTAGGATATGATAGCACTTAGCTTAAAGTTATATAATAAATAATTTAATAAAAAACTAATTAACAAAATAATTTGCTTTAACATGCAAAAAGATTTTTCATTAGCCCTGTGCTTTTGTCATATAACAAAATTTATTAATAATTGACACGATGACATTAAATATGGAGGCCAAAACTGCAGAAACTGAAAATAAAATAAATTTAAAATAAATAAATGAAAGAAAGAATAAAAAAAATTAAATGACAAAGAATTTAAAAGGTTAAAAAATAAATACTGAAAATAATAAAGTAATACAAAAATAAATTCAATTAAAAATGTTATTTGTTTGGTCGGGTTTGAGCCTCTTACACTAAAAAAAGAAGGCATTGCTGAGTTATGCTGCGTCTATTTGAAATAAACAATTAAAGCTGCTTTTAGTTCTGCATTGGGCATCAAATGAAATATCATACAGATGTTTTAGTAAAGTTTTCAGTGAATTTTTTCATTTTTTATTATGCAAAAATTATACAAAGATTTGTACAAACATATACAACTCGCAGCAAGTACAAAAACAAATAAACAATCATAATATGTAAAGTGAAAGAATTCAAGCCAGGGGTAAAATTACAACAATTTAAAGTAACAAAAAGCTTCATAGGTCTTTCTAGCTTTTTTGTTCTTAATTTTGTCTAATGTGGTACCATATTGTTTAATCTCTTTTATAAAATGTTCAAAATTTGGCTTAGCTTTAGACCATTTTTTTCACATGAATGTGATATTTTCCAAATAAAATAAAAAGTTGTGTAAGAAAGCATATCGTACTTTTGGAATCAACATTAATAAAATAAAACGACATCATACAGATTAATTTGTATATATGTTCCAAACAACCTAGAAATTAAATTAGAAACATCCAACCAAAACATTTTTGAATATATACAATAAAAAAAAAGATGAGTCACAGATTATTTGGCATTGCTAAGTTTTCAGTGGATGAAGCAAATAGTTTTACGCACGCGCGTCACACGCACGCAAGGCCCTCGTCACGGCGTGCTGACGTACGGGAGGGTGTGTGCGCGGGGGCGGGGCCAGTGTACGTCAGCACGCCGTGATAACGCTGACGCCGATCAGCGGCTCTATATCGGAATTTGGGCGCTTTAGAAAGACTGAGGAGGAAAAGCCGCTTTCATTCTGCAGTTGAAGCATTTCGCTGTTTTCTGCCGTTGGAGGAAGAGCAGACTTTACGCCAGAGCGCGAAATAATGGCGGTTTTGGGAGGCGCGTGCCGGCTCATGCAGCGTAAGTGTGTTTACGACTCTAAATACACACAGAACACTCACTCATTCAGTCACTGAGGAGGTTATATAAGCGTCTATATCATCAATCGTGCAGCACGAACAGCGCAGGGGCTGGAATGAGCCGTGTTTATGTCCGCTCTGTTCGCGAAGGTTAAAGTGTCTCGATGACTTTCCTCAGTTTTTCTTCCCGCGGTTTTTCAGCTCTTCGCGGAGTAATCGCGCAGATAAAGCGTGTGTTTTCATCTCTACGTCAACGCGCGAATTGTCAACAAAAAGCAGTTGAAGTTTCCGTGGCGTTAAACATCATGTTACACAACACGCGCTCTCACAACTTGCGTAACTGCGCCAACAGCGACCCCGTGCGGCCGCGCGGCGCTACTGCAGCGCCCTCCGACACAACACGCAGTAAACACGTGTGATGATAACTTCTGCTTTTAAATATTTATCATATTATACATGCCACTGAATTATGTCCTGGTGTTATGTTCTGTCTTACAAATGTAGACTAAATTACATTTAATAGTCTATAATAGTACTAGTCAAGGTTTTATGATAAAATACTATAAATAATGATTTAGTGTTATATTAAAAAATATATAATTGAATGATATATATATATATATATATATATGTATATGTGTGTGTATATATGTATATGTGTGTGTGTGTATATTTAGCCAAATAATGATATTAATCTTACAAAAACATGTCAAGATCACAATTAAAAAAAATTAAATATGCAATGAAAAATTATAAGCCATTCATTTAGCATAAAGTATATTTCACCACAAATTATTACATTACTATAATGCAAAAAAAAATTAGTTATTACTGTAATGGATCTAAAAATTGTATTAATGAGCAATAAGAGTTTTTTCCCATTACATATATATATATATATATATATATATATATATATATATATATATATATATATATATATATATATATATATATATATATATATATATATATATATATATATATATATATATATATATATATATATATATATATATATATATATATAACACTTTATTGTCAGATGAATCAAAAATGTTCTTGCATGACAGTATCTGTGTTTACAACAATCAACATCCTTTAAACAACAACATGCATATACATGCGCATATTTTTTATATATAAAATATTATTATTAATTTATTTAATTAATAATAATAATTAAATAAAGAATAATAATTTAAAAAAATAATATTTAATAATTATTATTATTTATTTAATTATTATTATTATTAATTTATTTAATTAATAATAATAATTGAATAAAGAATAATAATTAAAAAAAATAATATTTAATAATTATTATTATTTATTCAATTATTATTATTAATTTATTTAATTATTATTATTAATTTATTTAATTATTATTATTTAATTATTAAAACAAATTTAAATCAGCAAACAAATTAAAGTTGCATAGAAATATTTTTACAAATTAATAAAAATGACACAGCATATATCAAAATTACTAAAACTTAAATCTTAACTTAAAATATTAATAAATACTATAATAGTATATAAATAATTACTAAAGCAACACTTGTTTTTTTTTCTCAGAATAATGCAGAATTCATAATTGGATTAAAAATATGCTTTGTATTTTGTGGCTCTAAGATATACATTAAAGAGATTAAATGAGAATTCTCACAGGGAGGAATAATATTAATTGTCATTAAAAATATTTGTATTATGTAAAATATCTTTATGTAAAATATAATAAATTTTTTCCCCTATAACTTGATCTGCGAGTGTGTTAAACATGCATTGTTTCTTCAGGCTGATGTTTGTGTTGTGTGTGTTTGTGCAGTGGTCAGGTGGAGTCCGCCGGTGAGTTTGTGCACGAGTGTGTTTCTCAGACGGCAGTCGACGGCCGCAGCAGCTGCGTTCGCCAGCTCCGCCGCTCCAGAGACTCAGGAGAACAGGTACAGCGTCTCCTGACCTCATGAACATCCACTCAACGCCTGCGGGGAAATCAGCCGCTCACACTAGCCTCCACAAACAACCTCGGAAAAACACCTGCTGCTGATGCTGTGGAGCCGAAGGGTTGCTTGCTTCTAGTAGTTTTCAACATGTTTAATAATAGTTTTGATCATCAGAACAAGTGAAGAACGTTTATTTCCAGAAGCTTTCATGTACACATGACACTTTAAAGGACTTTCACATTATTTCTTACTGCTGCAGTAAATTGTGAATATGGGCTTTTGCTTTTCAGTGTTGTTAAACATTAAAAATATTAGAAATTAACTAAAAAACTAAAATTAAAATTGAAATAAAATTAGATTGAAAACCTGAACTTAAAAAATGTAACCAAAAATTAGAAATGTTGCCTTGACAATTAACTGAACTAAAATAATTGTGTGCAGGATTACTAAAATTACTAAAACTGAAATAAATACAAATTAAAGGTTAAAAATGACAAAAGCACAATCGTCGATATTTGGTGTGTTTTGCTTTTCAGTGTTGCTATTGCAAACTAAAACTATTAACAATAGTTAATTGAAAAATGAATTGAAATAGAGCTGAAATAAAATAAAATAGAAATATTATATGACAAAACTTTAACTTGTAGACTATATTAGAAATGATACACTGACAACTAACTGAAATGAAATGTAAAAAAATAATACTTAAAAAAAAATTTTTTTTAAGTTTATGGTTAAAAGTAATAAAACGGAAATAGATATAAATAAAAGGTAAACAAATATAAAAAAGCACAAAATTATAACAAACTAAAATTAAAATGAAATTTGAAAAAAAGTAAAAAGCGAATTCAAAATATCAATAAATATGCTATTAATAATATTATATAATTAATACAAAAACAACACTTGTGCTTTCTCAGAATAATGCGTTATTTCTAACTGAATAAAAGATGTCTATTTTGACGTTCAAAGTGGTTTTTGAGTGCTTTATTTTGCATTTATAAGGTATTCAAGAAATGCAAAGCAAGAAAAGACGTTAAGTTCTGAAATATTTCCTCCTCTGCTTGTTCCTGTGCAGAAGTCTCTTTGGGTTTAGTTTAATTTGGACTGGATTTGAATCCAGAACTTCTCAGTCCGTCTCAAGTAAGGGTTGCAAAGGGGTGGAACACTTCCGGAACTCTCCAAAAATTCCTGGAATAGTCCAAAAGATCCTGGAATGCTTCCACCTTTTTGTAACCCTAGTCTCAAACCCGTTGCGTTCGTTTCTTCTGCAGAAAACCCAAAACAGGGATTCTGATGCTGAACATGGGCGGCCCGGAGAAACTGGAAGACGTGCATGATTTCCTCTTACGGCTCTTCATGGACACAGACCTCTTGCAGCTTCCTGTGCAGAAGTAAGAGCGATCCTTCATAGAAGCAAGCCCTGGAGGGGTTATAACTCCGTAAAAGAGAAACCTGAAACGCCTTTTATAGCTTCTCGTGCGTTTTTTATGTCTGTTGCAGTAAACTCGGCCCTTTCATTGCCAAAAGACGAACCCCAAAGATCCAAGAGCAGTACAGTAAGATCGGAGGAGGATCTCCAATCAAAGCCTGGACCACCACGCAGGGAGAAGGCATGGTCAAGCTGCTGGACGAGATGTGTCCCGAGACGGGTGAGAGCCAGGGGCCAACGCTTGCATGCGCTCAGAGATAATACACACATACAGCGGCAAAAAAAAAAAAATAGAGATAAATAACTTTTTAAATATATATATTTTAAAAAATGCTGAAAATAAAAAAAATGCTTAAAATAAATACTAAAATTAATTGTACTTAAAAAAAAAATTAAAAATGCTTCATTTTAAAGCAATAAGCCCCAAGAAGCCGTGGTTATAACAGTGCCTAAAACCACCTTAGCTGTTATAAATTCACTGTAAACCACGGCTTCACGGGGATTATTGCTTTTAGAAAACGTTTATTCCAGATACGTAGTAAGGTTTCACAAAATAAAACCGAGCAAGTAAAGTGTAAAGATTTTAATAAAAACAGTATTCTTCCACCAAACAATGTAGCTCCTCAGAAACAGTTGTGGTTGCTACAAAGTAGTTGTTGAGCAACACACAGTCAGAGATAATACACACATACAGCGGCAAAAAAAAAAAAATAGAGATAACTTTTTAAATATATATATTTTAAAAAATGCTGAAAATAAAAAAATGCTTAAAATAAATACTAAAATTAATTGTACTTAAAAAAAAAATTAAAAATGCTTCATTTTAAAGCAATAAGCCCCAAGAAGCCGTGGTTATAACAGTGCCTAAAACCACCTTATCTGTTATAAATTCACTGTAAACCACGGCTTCACGGGGATTATTGCTTTTAGAAAACGTTTATTCCATATACGTAGTAAGGTTTCACAAAATAAAACGGAGCAAGTAAAGTGTAAAGATTTTAATAAAAACAGTATTCTTCCACCAAACAATGTAGCTCCTCAGAAACAGTTGTGGTTGCTACAAAGTAGTTGTTGAGCAACACACAGAAGCAAACGAAGGTGTGTGTTTGTAGAGTAATTTACTACAGCTTCGAACGCGGCTCAGCCAATCAGAATCAAGCACCGGAACTCTCTGTTTTATAGTAATATTATTTCTATTAGATTATGCATTAATATTAATTAAATTATAAAAATATACCTTTGCATAAACAAATTATACATCTTACAGTACTATAGTGTGTAAAAAAATATTTTAATGTTATAGAAACATTTTTTAGATAAATATTTTCCAAGTAATATTTTACACACATTAATATAATTAGTATAATAATTTTTCACAGTATAAATTTTCATGTGGTTACCAGTTTTCCAGGCAGTAACCAGCTCGTGAAATATTTACTACTAAATGCTGTAATTTCACCCCAAAACATGTTAAATAGACCAATAAATGAAAAAATAAACTCTCAATTTGCAGTAAAATAACTGGATGCGTGATTTTTGAGTGAGCAATAAATGTCAACAATAACAAATAAGAGTAGTGCAAAATGAAAAAGAATAAAAGTAAGAATACAGCAGCACTAAAAGGCATATGGGTCTCAGTAAAAATGTCTGAATATCATTACATTAGAATGTATGAAAAAAAATTAAGAATAAAAAAAATACAAATAACATTAAATATGTAACTAAAATGATTTTATTCTGAAAATAGCTACAGAATAAAAATAATTCAATTTGCATTCAATAAAATATATTATATGATATATTAATATTATGCGATTAATATTTAAATAAATAATAAAAAACTATATTTACATTTAACAGTACAGTACTGTAGTATATAAATATTTTTCAAATAATATTTTACATGTATTTATAGTATTACTTTTTCAAAGTATAAATTTGGTCTTTATACATTAAAATATAACATTTTAAGATGAGGATGATCATATTTGGGGTCCTTGGCATCAAAAAGACAAAAAAAAACCCTGCATTAGTTTACAAAATATCGAAACGAGTGTTGGATTACTAATGCTTGTTCACACAGACTGAATCAGTCTGAAGGCATCGAGTGACGGTTGTAACGGATCATAAAATAATCAGAGTGAAACAGACAAACGGTCGTCTTTGTTATCAGTGTTGAGTGCTGATAAACCTGGAGAGAGTGTGTGTGTGTGTGTGTGTGTGTGTGTGTGTGTGTGTGTGTGTGATAGATGAAGCTCAGAGGAGTGTCTCACACACGCCTCTCACACACACACACACACACACCTCTGATAAACCAACAACTAACTGTTTGAGAAGCACCATAGTCCTCTTTTCATAAGGTTACTGGTTTATCTTGCACAAACAAGATTTGGTTTGCTGTAATTTCATCCCAAAACATCAATAAGCTAATAAATTAACACTAAAAAAAAAAAAAAATTTATTAATAATCTAAACCTTGAAAGAAGCATGTGGGGAAAAAAAGGATGTGGAACTGTGATCAGCAGTAACCTGCTTATGAAATACTTCCAACATTATGCTTGAATTTAGCCCCAAATCATCGTACGTACAAATAAATAAAAACAAATAAATTAACTGTTAATCTACAGTAAACTGTTTACATAATACAAAGAAAACAATGTCACTGTATCAACAAAAATAACAATGCAAAATAAAATAATTAAATAAAAACAACTTTGCAGAGTAAACAAAGTTGCAATAAAAATAAATAAATAAATAAATTGCAAAAAACAAACAAAAAAAATCTTAAATAAACCAGTACTTAAGGATAATGTGGAAATGTTATCAGTAACCTGCTCATTAAATATATACACAGACAAAATGCTTGAATTTAAAAACAATAAATGAACAAATAATTAATAAATGAACAAATAAACTGATAAATGAGCTCTCAGTTTACAGTAAAATAACTGAATAAATAATACAAATTTACAATAAACAAGACAATAGTTGGTAACATTTTATTTTAAGGTGTCCTTGTTACATGTACTTACTATTATAATAACAATTAATTATACGTAATTATATGCAAGTAACCCAAGCCAAATCCTAATAAAATCAATCAATCACCAATAAAAAATGCAGTGCAATATAAAGTGCTAAATAAAATAAATAAAAAAATAAGATCAACTGTGTAGAATAAATCAAACAAGTTGCAATAAAAAAATGTAGCAAAAATTAATACATTAAAAAAAAAGATTTTGGATTTGGAAATGTTATCAGTGGTAACCTGCTCAGATATATTTACAGCAAAATGCCTGAATTTCACGTCACAATATCACATTAAATGAACAAATAAACGAACAATTTAACCAAAGAATTAACACTGTTTACAGTAAAAAAAGTGTATAATAATATAACAATAATAATAAATTAGTGTAATAAGTCATACTAATAATAATAATTATGGTTGTTGTTTATTATTATTATTATTATTATTAACTAAATTGTATAATAATAAAAAGGTGGTAATATCAACAAAAGCATTTAAAACATTAATTGTCCAAACAAAAAAAGCCAAGCAACTAGCAATCAACACATTTAAGAAAAAGCTACAAAGAAAAAGAGAGTAATTAACTTTAAATAAACCAGTGCTTTATAAAGACAAACTAAGATGAAATGTGCCACTGTAATGAATGACCATCTGTTTTCTGTGTGTCTGCGTGCGTGTGTGTCTATGTGTGTGTGTGTGTGTCTGTGTCTATGTGTGTGTGTGCAGCTCCTCATAAGTTTTACATCGGGTTCCGGTACGTTCATCCTCTGACGGAGGAGGCCATCGAGCAGATGGAGAAGGACGGAGTGGAGAGAGCCGTGGCCTTCACGCAGTACCCACAATACAGCTGCTCCACCACAGGTCACACTCACTGCTCCTGACATATATATGAGCTTAATCCTTCGAAAGAGTTTTAATCAAATCCTCTGTCTGACGTGTGTGTGATCAGGCAGCAGTCTGAACGCCATCTACAGATACTACAGCAGTCGCAGCGACAGGCCCAAGATGCGCTGGAGTGTGATTGACAGGTGGCCGACACACCCACTACTGATCGAGGTGACACACACACACACACACACCCACTACTGATCGAGGTGACACACACACACACACTACTGATCGAGGTGACACACACACACCCACTACTGATCGAGGTGACACACTCACTCACACACACACACACACCCACTACTGATCGAGGTGGCACACTCACTCACACACACACACACACACACCCACTACTGATCGAGGTGACACACACACACACACACACACACACACACACCCACAACACATCTCTGTGATCGAGGTGACACACACACACACCCACTACTGATCGAGGTGACACACACACACACACCCACTATTGATCGAGGTGACACACTCACTCACACACACCCACTACTGATCGAGGTGACACACTCACTCACTCACACACACACACACACACACACACCCACTACTGATCGAGGTGACACACACACACACCCACTCCTGATCGCGGAGACACACACACACACCCACTCTCCAACGCGAACACACACACACACACACA